GTCTTCAAGATCTAACCTTAGGGAAGACAATAATAACCACCATCGTATCTCTCATTCTCATTGTGATAGTTGTCCCCATCTCTACATATGCTGAAATTGAACTCAAGAAATCAGTCCAATGTCATTCTAATCAATGAACAATAGTATTGCTAGAATTTGTATCATAATGCTACAAGATTAGCCTTGGGTTTCTTAGCGTCTCTTCCTCAGAGTATCTGTTCATTACATCTTGCATTATATAATCTGTTCCCATAAATAATTAAAAAAATTCATGTGTGAATTTCTACATATGTATCTATCCTCTCTGTATTATAGGGAAAACCAAGTTGTACCAAGACAGCAAAACAATTTCCTAGAAAAAACATGCAATGGATAAGACATATAAGACCACAATATAAATGATCTTCCGTAGTTGCTATGTTTTCTCTTGTTATTTTCAATAGAATTGTCCACAACATCGGCTTATTATAGTTAAACGTAGTATTACCTATTTTTTAAAAACTTAACTTTGAAAGCATTGTAGGATTTGAGGGCTGCTAATAGTTAATACCAGTATGGATATCCTTTACATCTTGTCCTCTTCAGAGTAGTTGCCTCTACTTTTAGGGTTGATACTAACAAGCATACCAAATTCAAATAAAATCAGCCAAGGCAAACCCATGGTCTTAGGAATTGGATTCAATTAAGATCAGTCATAGTAAGACAATGTAAGTAATACAGGATTTCAGTTTAAGTTAATAGGAAAGTAAGGATAGTTACCATAATATAACCTGCTATTTTTAGGTCAAGATGTCTGTGCCCTCAAATCTGACATGAGTGGACAGACCAGAACAAATTAAATTCAAACTAAATATGGCGATAAGACTACTGTGTCTTTTAAATCCTTACACACCATTAACAATGACCTCTGCCTTTTTTAATGAGTTTCAGAGCTGTCTGTACTAAAGACTATAGCTTACCGTCTCTTACGTATATCTGCTACTCCACTTTTCTGCTATAATTTGTCCACTTTATTCCCTCATTCCACTGTCTGCCCCATTCATTGAGGCCACTCTGCTGCTGTTGCTGGAATTCTGGTATCCCTTCCTCTCTTTCTCTGTAATGTCCTTCAGCACTCTCTGTAGGGTTGGATTGGTGGCAACAAATTTCCAAAGTTCCTCCTTATCTTGGAAGCATCTTATTTCTCCATTAATTTTGAGAGAGAGTTTTGATGGGCATACGAGCTTTCATTGCATATTATTTTCTTTCAGGACTTGGAATATTTCTCCCCAGTCCCTTCTTGACTTAAGAGTTTGTGTTGATAAGTCTGCTATTATTTTGATAATTTTCCCATTGTAGGTAATCTGCATCTTGTCTCTGGCTGCTTTTAATATTCTGTTCTTTTGGTGGATTTCTGGAATCTTGATTATTATATGTCTAGGCATAGATCTGTTTTGGTTGTAGGTAGCTGGTGTTTTGTATGCCTCTTTTATCTGCATATCATTTCTTTTTGCTATACATGGGAATTTTTGCTTTAATATATCTGTGAATATTCTTTGTATTTCATTTTTGGTTGCTCCTGCTTCCTCATTCACATTCTTTATTCTTAAGTTATGTATCTTTTGGTCATCTTCTAGTTTTGGAATTGTTTCTTTCTGGCTCCTTGTTATTTTTTAGAGGCTTTTTCTTTCACGATCATATGCCATAAATCTCTCTTCAAGTTTCTGAAGGCTGCCTTTAGTTTCTGTCAAGGCATTTTGCCAGTGTTCAATGGTGTTTTTAGTTTCAAGGTAATCTCTTTGGATCTGTTTCATGTATTCTAAGATGTTTAAATTCTTATTCAGAAGTTTCTCTTTCTTTTCTGATTTCCTCAGTTCTTCCATCTGTGTTCTCTTAGGGGGGGTTGTCATTTCTTTAATTAATCTCTTTATATCTTGCCTCACTTGGATCAGGAGTACAGCTTTAAATTCATCTATGAGGTCATGAAGGTATTTTTTAATTCCGGCTGATGCTGTGTCAAGTATTGGATGGTTACTGTGCTTGTTCTCTTTAGTGTTTACTTCTCCTGGGCTTATTTTCTAATGTTGGGCAGCTGGAGATTTTTAAAATTTTTATCTCTTGTCATGTTTCTGGTTTCTTTCAGACTGGAGTGTTCTTGGGCTCCCTGGCCCTCTCTGTATTCCTTAGAGCCTTTCAGAAGCGTGCTGGCTTGAGATTTTGCTGTCCTCCCCAATTTGCTGTTATCTGGGGTAGACTGGGATGCAGGGGCAGTACAGGCTAGGCTCCAGCCTCTGTGCCAGTCAATCCGTAAATTAGGCTGTACTTTCTGGATGTCACTGAGTTGTAACTATTTTGTTTCTGCTTATTGGGCCCCAAGCAGAGGCTTAGTTTAGCACCAGTAGCTCCCGCCAGTTTTCCCTGTACCAGAAGCAGCTGACTAATGTCACTATGGCACGGGTTTTTGCCCAAATCCCAGCTGTTCTCTTCCAGACCTCTCTGTGACAGGAGCACCAGGAGAGCAAGTCTGCCCAAAACCAAGATGTCTACCACTAGTTCTCTGTATGATGCTGAAGCCAGCATGGCATCATGCTCTGCCCAATTTCAATATGTCTTCCACCAGACCTCCCTACAGGGGACTCAGTGATGTCTCTGCGCTGTAGGTTCTGCCCAACTATAAGATGTCTTCTGCCAGACTCTCTGTGTTAATGATGTCCACGTGGTGGCGGGCACTGCCCAGTTCCAAGATGTTCTCTGGCCAACCCCAGCATCCGCGGGGTCCCCAGTACTCACCAGGGTTCAGTGGAGGTCCTCCTCCCGGGTCCACCGCACACCACACTGCCCACCCTCCCCGCGCTTCCAGCACAGCGAGGAACCATCAGAAAACTGCACAGCATTCGGCTTCGGAGCTCCAGGACCTTTTACAATCTCCTCTGGTGCAGCGGGGCTATCCTGGCTGCTTCTCAGGGTCCCAGGTCTCAGTTTCCAGCAGTGACCAAAAGCCAACACAGCTTTTCCTCTTGAGTCCACGGGTCAGTTCGCTGATTTAAAGGCGCGGTATTTGCAGCCTCCCGTTATTAGCCTTCACAGCCTCAGCACGACTTTAAATCCTCCAGCTGTGCTGTCTTGGTTAATAAGAATCATTACCCATTTGTCTGGCCCTCTCCATGTTGTCATATTCTAGCTTCTAATATGATTTCTCTGGAAAGACTTTCTGCCCGATCCCCTAGAAAGCCACCATTTTCTCAGCCCCCATCATTTATTCTCTTGTCAGAGTTTCTGAGTCTGTAATTTCACTTGAAAAGAATCACGTATATTTCAAGGAATCATAGAACAAAATATTTTGTATACATTAGAAAGAATTCACTTGATTGTAGATTTTCATAAACTCCATAGAAAAGGACTTTGTGGAATTTAAGAATAAATCTAAATATTTTTTCTTCCACACTTCAATATTGTTTGGTTATTTTCACAAATGTGAGTTAGACTTTCTTTTCTATTCATTATTTCTGCTGGGCCACATAAATTTTGTTTACTTTTAGATTTGTAATCATTGATCATAACTCTATGTAAAATCTTTGTATTGTGTTCCCAATAAATGTTTTCTTGTTTAATTCCAATTTTCATAGATTTCAAATTCTTCTAATTTTCATGGCTGCTTGATTTTCTTCAGAAGAGTTTTGCACTGAGTGTTTTTCAGTATAAATTGCACAGTAATTCATGTTTCTCTTTCCCATTTCAATAATTCACCAATGCACATAGGCAACGGTAGTGTGCAGGCCAGATTTCTAGGGACATACCTGTTTCTTTCTGGATGTAAATGAAACATATTGTGCTCTCTTGCCTAGAAGCACAATGACAGCTGAATTGTGACATAATATTCTACTTCCATGTGGATGAATTGAAGGTTGTTTTCCTTTTCTGAGATCCCTTTGTCCACTGATATGAATGTTGAATGTCAAATGTTTTCCTGTTTATTATGCAAAATGTTTCCTTGCACACAAATATTCAATGTTTGTAGGGCTTTTTTTCCCTAACTTACATCTACAGTTGTTGGAACTAATCAAAGGTGCACTTGAATTCTCTTTTTGGTACTGGAAAGTATACTCAGGCCCTTGCAAATATCACACAGGTGCTTTTACCATTGAGATATATCATGGGTGCAAAGTTGTGATTTGTCAATGACTATGAATAAATTTTAATTTTCATTTGGTACAGGAGTTTGATGAATGGCCTCACTTTGTAGTCTGAACTGTCCTTATTACATAGCCCAGGCTGGACACTGTATGCATGGCAAACATGAAATTTCTGGTAACTCTCTTACATCATGATTTCAAGTTCTGAGAGTACAAGCATATACTACTCCACTGTACTGAACTCTTCCATCAGTATTTAGTGATCAGTTACTTTTCTATTTCTCAATTATCACTCCATTTCAAGCATTTCATATATGTTTTTCTCCACATTATCTTCCTTTGCACCCTAGTGGAATTTCCAGTGTATAAGTACAAGAAGATAGTTTAGTATCCCTGAGCTATAGATTTATAACTATATTTTCCCTTATTTCCTTGTCTATAGAATGGTCAAATAAAACTTTTCTGTCATTAAATTTTAATCATTCAGAAATATCTTTTCATATTCAACTAAATATTTATCTATAAATCTAGATTCAAGACCATAATGCTATTGATAAGAAAGACAAACTCAATGTTATGAATAACCAATATTTTGCGAATGGTGGTTTGCATGCTCACTCTTTGAGCTCTGCTTTAAAGTAAGTGAAAACTGCACTATTGGTGGCCCTGCAGGATAAGCCATGCTACAGTTCTGTGATTGCTTTGGCAGTGTGTCATAGTCTAGCATCAGTGTTACTGGGTGACTATATTTGAATGTACTTGAGTTTTGATGACCATGACATGCAGTTAGTACTTGAAGGAATGAATTTCAGGTAGACTACTTATGACAGAAACTGAGATATATCAGGTCATGTGTGACTGAACTTCAGGACCCTTGTCATTATTTAGGAGACAGTGACCTTTGAGGATGTAGCTGTGAAGTTCACCCCAGAAGAGTGGGACTTGCTGACTCCATCCCAAAAGAAGCTCTACAGAAGAGTGATGTGGGAAACATATATGAATATTACTGCAACAAGTAAGGATGACATCTTTGTTTATACTAACAGCATTAATTATTGCTCATTGATACAGTTTAATATATTTGATAAAAATAACATTTGCTTGAGTATCTCGTCTGATTATACTATACTATGAGTGTAAATCAAATCAGTGATATTTTAATGCACAGTTATAGTAATTGTATTTTATTTCTATGTCCATATTACAGGAAGAATATGGAATAATCAGCAAATTAAGGAAGAGGACAAAAATTGCTCAAGTAGTATAAGGTGACTGAAACACATAAGAGAAAGGGGACATTACTTAATTGTCAGTGTGTGAGCATAAACATTACAACAAAGGAATTGAAGAAATGAAATCATGTTATAGTTTATTTAACCTCAGAAAAATACCAAGAGATATACTTGATTTTATTTTGTATTATCTGGGAATCCATAGAAACATATTGAAATATAAGAATCAGAGGTAATTCTAATGCTATGTAGTAAATAACACTATCTAATGTATCAGTTTAAAAATTGCCTTCATGATCAACATCATATAAATGTATGATAATAAATTAAATATTGTATTCTAATATGTAGGAAATGAACAAATTGTGAAAGTTGATAACAACCCATCTTCAAAATACCATTTATGTATACATGTGAATACTGAGACTTTCATGATCTAGAATTATTTTCACATAGCATCAGCATTCAAAATGAAAATGAATTCTACTGTTACAATAAGTACTCTGAAAATATCCTATAGAATATTGAGCTGTTCATGTTTAAAATTCCTCATACATTGTTGATGGACACATAAAATACAAACATGGTAATAAATATTCAGTGGTCTGAAAATTAAAACAACATATTTCATATTGGTTCACATGTACATCCACAATGATATCCTTTTTTAAATCTTTTGAGCCATGATTTTATACTGTAGTTCAGGTTGATTTTGAACTTACTGTGAAGCCCATAATGGCCTGAACCTCAGGGAAATCCTCCTGCCTCTACCTCCTGACTGTTGAGTGGGTCGTACTGTGTCATTATGTGTAATGATTCTCTCAGTATATTGTCAAATACATTAAAATCATCAAATGTTAGTGATGCATGAGAGTGTGTTGTTTGTTAAAGCACATGAAAGGGCATTTACAATATCCAATACAAGAATCAACTCACAGTAGCTAAGCATTGAGAAGAGCCCAGATGCCCATCACTGGATGCCAAGGTAAAGAAAATTTGGGTCAGCTCAACATTGTGGTGCATTCCTGCAATCCCCAAGCAGCTGGGGAAGCTGAATCTGCAGGATGATAACTTGAAGTTCAGCATGGACAAGTTGATGGCCAATAAAAATCTCTCTCAACAAAACAAATAATAGATCAGCAAATGTAGTTCATTCTATGACCTGTGTTTAACTCCATGTTGTAAAAAAAAATCTATAAAGGGAACCATGATACCATTTCCCAAGAAACAAGAAGTATTGGACCTTAAGTAAAGTAATTCAGACATAGAAATGGAAATATCACAGGTTTCTCTCTCTCCCTTTCTCTCTCTCTCTCTCTCTCTCTCTCTCTCTCTCTCTCTCTCTCTCTCTCTCTCTCTGTTTGGTACAGAGAAATGAACTCATAATCTTATGCTTGCCCGGCTGGTGCTTATGCTGCTGGGCTAAATCACTGGCCACAACTCAGGTTTTTTCTTAAATGAGAAATTCAAACCTTATTTGAGAAGTGAAAGTAAAGAGAGAGAATATATTACCAGAAATCCTTATGTTCTGTAGATGAGAAAGATGATCAGGCTAAATAGACAAAGGGGAGATTAAGACATGAAGAGCTAAAAAAAATTATCAATGTTTGCTATTCATTTGTACCAGTCTCCTAAAATGATATTAAGTATTAGAATCACATAACAATTTAAATTGTGTAAATGGATCAGGGATTTTATCTCAGAGGCATAAGTGCCTGCCTTGTAAGCATGCAGTTGTGAGTTCAATCCCTGGTACCAAAAAAAAAAAAAAAAACAGTAAAAATTTTTAGAATGAATAGTATTTTGAAAGAAGTCCTTTGGGGCAGTGAGTCAGTTAACCAATCAGAATTACTTAGCAGGAATAAAACTAAATTTGTCATCATAGAAATTGTTGCTAATGTGGAGCCTTTTCCATTGTGATTGATATATTTTTTTGTATTTCTTCACAGATGTGATGAAGGCAATTATTTGAGAATTGAAGAGCAGCCATATAAATGTAATGAAGATGTAGAGACCTGCAGTGATTTACAGTCCTTTTGGAAGCATGAAATGAGGAAGACTGTAGAGAGACCTTGTGAATATGGGCAATATGAGGAGGAGAGATCTGATATTAGTGAACAAACACTCGCTGGGCAGAAAATTTTTGCAGGTAACAAATGTGTCAAAGCCCACACAACACCTAACAGTGTTCAAACCCCCAAGACAAACCACGATTCAGGAAACTCGTATGTACAAAAACACTATGAGAATAATTCTAATTCTTCATCCAATATTGAAAAACCTGTTAGAAAATATGGTATAGAGAAAGATCATATAACTGAAAAATGTGCAAAAGCATTATTTCACAGTAATATCTTTAAAAAACATAAGAAACTTCACACTGGAAAGCAACCATATGAATGCAAGCAATGTGGGATAGCATTCAATAAACTCAGTGGCTGTCAAAGTAATAAAAACATTCACACTGGGGAGAAATCCTTTGCATGCAACAAATGTGGGAAAGCATTCAGTACAGCCTCTGCTTGTGAAGTACATGATAGAATTCACACTGGGGAGAAACCCTTTGTATGCAAGCAATGTGGGAAATCTTTCAGTCAAAATCGTGACCTTATTACACATGAAATTATTCACACTGGGGAGAAACGCTTTGCATGCAACAAATGTGGGAAAGCATTCAATCAAAAGTCTATCCTTATTAGACATGAAAGAATTCACACAGGGGATAAACCTTATGTATGCAACAAATGTGGGAAAGCATTCAATCAAAAGTCTATCCTTATTAGACATGAAAGAATTCACACAGGGGATAAACCTTATGTATGCAACAAATGTAGGAAAGCATTCAATCAAAAGTCTATCCTTATTAGACATGAAAGAGTTCACACAGGGGATAAACCTTATGTGTGCAACAAATGTGGGAAAGCATTCAATCACGCATCTGCTTGTAAAGCACATGATAGAATTCACACTGGGGAAAAACCCTTTGTATGTAAGCCGTGTGGGAAATCTTTCAGTCAAAAGTCTAACCTTATTAAACATGAAAGAATTCACACAGGGGATAAACCTTATGTATGCAACAAATGTGGGAAAGCATTCAGTACATCCTCTACTTGTAAAGTACATGACAGAATTCACTCTGGGGAGACACCCTTTGTATGTAAGCAATGTGGTAAATCTTTCAGTCGAAACAGTGACCTTATTAAACATGAAAGAATTCACACAGGGGATAAACCCTATGTATGCAACAAATGTGGGAAAGCATTCAATACATCCTCTGCTTATAAAGTACATGACAGAATTCACTCTGGGGAGAAACCCTTTGTATGTAAGCCATGTGGGAAATCTTTCAATCAAAAGTCTAACCTTATTAGACATGGAAGAATTCACACAGGTGATAAACCCTATGTATGCAACAAATGTGGGAAAGCATTCAGTACATCCTCTGCTTGTAAATCACATGATAGAACTCACATTGGGGAGAAACCCTTTGTATGTGAGCAATGAGGGAAATCTTTCTGTCAAAGCAGTCACAGTATTATTCATGAAAGAACTCACACTGGATAGAACATCTATGGTACAACCAATATGCCAAAACAGACAGTATGCAGAAGTGCTAAAAATAAACCCTTTCCATTGAAGTAAGCAATTTGTGATGTATTTTAGCTATAATAGTAGCTTTCTTGTATAGAAGATAATTCACTCTATAAAAATTCCCTATCTATATGAGAAATGAGTAAATGGATTTGTTTATACATTCTCACTATACAAAACCAAATATCCCACACTGGGAAAAAAATCCCATGAACATAAGGAATATAGGAAGACTTTCCATACCATTGAGATTGCCACTACGTTTAAGAACTCCCTCGGTGTAGTAATTCTATGCATTTGAACAATGGTAGATCGTATGTAGCACACAAAAATGCCATAGGGAAATTTTGCACACAAGGAAGATATCCTATATATGTAGGCAGTATGGCAAAGATTTGCTGCAGTGTTTCCCTTTGGCAAACATAAGATTCCTCTCACATTGGGGAGTAACTGTATGTAAGAAAGATTTGGTAGACGTTCAGCTGACAGCTGCTAACCTTCTGAGTGATGTCATACTATGTCCCGAGGTTATGTATGCAATGTGGGAAAGCACTCAGTATACATGGCTGTTGTCAAAAGTGTGAAAGTAATCCTAGTTAAGGGAAATCATACATATGTAAGGGACTATTCTGAAAATAATTTCAAAATTAGTCATGTAGAGGAGATCTGCCAAAATATTATAAAATAATTTCTGTCAATATATATTCATACATTTTTGAAGACAACCTGAAACAGAATCATCCTAAAATATTTTTGTCTTGTTTTACAAATTACACATAAATATTTTATCTGTCTGTAGTCTTAATAAAGATGTTGCACTTTTTAATGAAAATTTAAGTATGCTATATCATTTTTTCCAAGTTTTGAACCGCACCTGTCTTGTTTTGATGGATGACATCAAATTATCTCATGACAATTTTTCCCATCAGAATCTGTAACTCATATCAGTTTACCAAGAAGTGTATATACATTCATATTCAAATTATGCTTGTATTCATGGCCTGTATCCATGTAGCCATCCTAATGTTAAGATATACCATCACAAATGCAAAGGCAGACACATTCACTGTCAGAAACAAGAATGAAATTAAATTAGGGAGAAATCTTATCATGCAAGACATTTAGAAACATGTTCAGTATACAAACATGTTATAAAAAACATGATAGAACTCTCAGTAGGGAGAACGCCTATATAGGTGCATAATGTGGAAAATCTTTCAATCAATATTGTAATGTTGTCCATAAAATAATTCACATGGGAGAAAACTTATATAAGTCGTAACTTAAAATCTCTGCTGATAATCCACATTTTCTAGACCTAGAAGATCCCACATAGAGAAAAAACTTCAGTATGTAAGCTGTGTGGGAAATCTACCAGCCAAGCCCATAGTTTGTAAATGCATTAAAGATTTCACAATGGGAAGAAACCCTATGTAGGTAAGCAACTTGGGAAAACATTCAGTTCGTTTTGTACTTGATGAACACATGAAAGAAACCACAATGGGGAGAATCTGTATGCATGTAAGCAATGCAGCAAATTTGTCCACCACCAGTGATTATAATGACATGAAAGAGTTCATATAAGGAAGTAACCCTATGCATTCCAACAATGGAGAACAGCATTCAGTGCAAAATAAGGCCATCAAATAATGAAAAAATGCAAACAGGGAAACATTTCATGTAAGTAGTTAATGAGAGAAGGATTTCTTGCAAATTTTTGCATTGTATAAATGCTAAATTTCTCACACACTGGGTTATAGTTGTGAAAAAATGTGTTGAGTAACTTTTTCCATTGACAGAGATGCTAACCTCCAAAATTATGCCTCTGTATGCTGTCTGAGAAAGCACTCAGTATTCCTGCGTATGGTCAAATACATGAAAGTCAGCACTATGAAAACAAATTGGACATATGTAAGTGACTATTTTGAAAATACTTTGCAAATTACTCTTGTAGTCAAGTTCTGTAGAAATACCAAAAAAAGATGTGAATATATTTTCATAGAATTTCCAGCGATCACAGTTGAAGATGGAGATGTCCCATTCACTTTATGCTTCAGTATCACACATAACTAGCTGAACTATTTGTAGGCTTACTATTAAAAATATAGTTTTTAAAGATAATTCAATGATTCTGAAGAATTTCCCCTTCATTTTTTATCCACCAACATCTGCATAGAAGACACCTATTTTTTCACACCCTTTTCCAGTTGGATGTGTATAAATTATTTCATGTAAAAGGATCTTCACAAACACAGCAGCAGTGTCCTTCACAACAGCTCATGAAATGCAACTATGCATGTATTCTTACGATAAGATAATCACAAAAGAAAAAGAAAATTTAAAATATGTATAAATGCATTAGTGCCTGTTTTTAGTTCACAATGTAAGTGTTCATCTTTGGAGGGCATCAGTGGGTATAATAGGTGTGAGTTTATTATTGTTGCCTTAACATGCCCAATTTATGTTTTTTCTCTTTTGATCATCTCTATTTTGAAAGAAGTATGCTCCTACTGCCTATTACACATCATGTACATTTCTAAAAATGTAAGCACCATCCTTCTAAGATTAAGGCAGTCATTTATAAATAGTACAATCCTGAGTATGCAAGTGAATCATGATTTCACATAAGTTCCTAGGGTTCAAAGAAAATGCATGGAATATGATTGCCAGAATAGTACCAGTGAGTGATTGAAATGATATTATATCATGACACCAGAAAGAAAGAATCACCAGTGTGCAATAAATAAGGTAACAACTACAACTGCATGAATTCAATGCATGAGAGTCGTACCATTAGTTTTGTTTTGTCTGAAACAAACTTGCTATGCAGTTCAGGCTGATTTTGGGCTCACTTTGTAGGCCCGGCTGGTCATGAGCTCACTTTGTAGTTCAGGCTAACCTTGGACTCCCTTTGTAGTCCAGGCTGATCTTGAACTTCCAGCAATCCTCTTGTGTTAGCCTTACAAGTCCTGAGATTACAAGCATACACCTTCATGCCCAAGCTGTAGCATTATATTTCTAGCAATAAATTTCATGCCTGATAATAATACAACACTTTTGCTGCTCTCTGTACAGTCTTTGGGGCTTGTCACTGCTAAACCCTCATAATATCCATTTAGGCACATGTTCCACAGTGGCATTTCAGCAGCATCTTATGATATTAAAATAAAACTCAGAAATAAATGTTGAGAAAGTCTAAGTCATGTCTCATTCTCAGTAGCGTAAATAAATCTGATGTCACATGGAGTCATTATTTGACTTCATTTGAGATGCCATCACATTGTTGCTTCATTTGAGAGCCATCACGTGATGTCACAACCTGACAAGAAGGTTCAGTGCAAGACAGGATGAGATATGAAGAGAAAGAGAAAACATTCACAAGATTCTGATTATATTGTGGTTATTATGCTAATTTCTGTATTTAGTACTATTTAATTATTTACTTGTGTACATTTTTCAATATACTCTAAAATTGTAAACATGTATAAAATATTATTTGTGTAAGTTTCCATGTGTGAAATATATTACTCTAAAATATTGTAATATACATTGAGGCAGTTGGCATTTCTGCACACTTGATATTGATAGAGGATATTGCTGATGAATTACTACAATGTAGTTCATATTTATATTCTCTAATTTTAATGTTTTATTATTTTTTAATAAAATGTTTCAGACATAGGAAAGTAGGTGATTTCATTTGATTTAAGCAATCTGGGAACCTGAGGCAAGTGGTTTTCAAGTTTGCAATTTAAACCCAGGCTTCGTAACTTGGAAACATGGTGAAAACATGTCTGCAAATGAAAAACAATGCTGAGGAGATAGGTCTGTATAAATGTCCTGGATTCCAGCATCTGCCCTGAAAAGTTGAAATAGGCCTTGTTTTCTCATAGGGCAGTAAAACGATTGGCCTCATCTCACACACTGAATATATCCGGCCTGTTCTCACCTCCTCCCCCCCCCCCGGTTTAGGAATCATTTCCATACTACATAATCTGAATTTACTGGAGTATAGTTTCCATTCTATTTACTGCAAGTAGGAGTAAACTTGCAAAAAATACAGTTAGTCAATACCTGCTCTGTAAAGATCAGAGAAACCTCATTTTAAGTGTACTAATGCCCTTGTGGAGCATTGCAGTAGCCCATATGTAATCCAGGAATGGCACCTGTCAAATTGCTCATCAGTGTAGGTTTTGGATCACTTTCTCTGTCCCTTTAATCTCAAATATTTGGTCTTTTATCCCCAGCTATTGGGTGATGCAGGAAGGCTGTGTGCATTGTCAACTGGAAGGAAGCACGGGGAGATGAGGACAATTCATTATACGGAGTCTTCCTTTATATTTTTGCTACCATGTTTTTGACCCATGGTCACCTTTCGACAAAAGACCCTAGAATTGGAGCCTGGTTGCTGGATGATTTCCTCAGAGAGCAGGAATCAAATACACAAGGAAACAACCTAGAGGCTAGAAATGCAAGTGTGGGATAAGGTGCTCTGAGATGGAGACAGACAGACTAGATGTTATCTGATGAAGTTGGAGTCTCCTTATAAATATGTGAAGTTTGTGACCTGATCTGTGTACTGGCTTCCACCTGATTCCTTCAGATGTGTGCCAGGAGGCTTGACTGGCAGTTGAGACCTCAGTACCCTGTCCTGTTCCAGCTGCAATATCATTTCCATGGAAAGTGGCACGCATTTAGCAAATTATTCTACAGTCCCATGTCTTGACACTCTTTATGGTGACTTCATTGGTGCATGTGTAGTCTACGGGCCCATCTGTTGTTTCTATATAGAAAGGTATTTTTTTTCCTCAATCTTCATTCTACTTTTGACTCAGACAGTCATGATTTCTCTACATTTACTGAATGTTTGGAAGCAAAGTGTGAAGTTCATGATTTGAGTACAGAAAGAAGCATTTATAAGGTAGCAATTAAATTTCAAGTTTCCAGAACATCTGCACATGGACATACATAATACCCATGACTGTGTTTTGAGAGAATAAGGAGGCTGTTTCCATCTTTAACATAGCCTGTGCCACGGAGTCCTTTTTACCTTGTTTAACAAACATGAATACTGACTGAGGTAGAACATGATTCAGTAAACATAATACCAAAATTTAGAGATACATTGAATATGTTCTGTACCAGCATCTTAGTTATAGGCAAAAATAAGTAGAAAATTGAAACACAATTGTGTAGGGCATAATGGATGATGGAGCATGGCAATATCAACTCCTGGACCAAGGAAGGTCTTCCTGAGGTCAGCTTGTCTCAGGTTGGAAATAAAACCTGTGTCTTCATCTGACCCAGGATGAGAGGAGATCAAATCCATAGAACTGAAGATCAATGGAAACTTAGGGAGCAATCTGTTGACATTAATCATCCAAATATATTATTTTAAATGCTGAATTCAAATAGTGGAATTTTGGCAAGAAATAACTGGCTGTAGTGAATCTGGACATATGTGTGAGTGAGTCTGTGTGTGTGTGTGTGTGTGTGTGTGTGTGTGTGTGTGTGTTCATCTAATTCTGATGGAGAAAGATTTCTTTTTCACTAGCCTGTTTCTTGTAACCAAAAACAACTGGAGTTTTTAATCTTTGCTAGATAGATACCTGAATGAAAACATTAAGGTAGTTAATAAATCTTTCCACATATATAGAATCTGAAAATGATTTTAAAATTCATGTATATTGCACAGAATAGTGGATTACATTTTGGTGTATTGCAACTTGTATATAATATACATTGATTTTTATGGGAGTCACTTTGTTATATTATTATTATTATTATTATTATTATTATTATTATTTATTTTTACAATTGAGATACTCCTAATATTCGCATTCATCACAGGTAAATGGTACCTGTAAATTATATATTCTGATTCTTCTTTTTGTAATTCTGTTTTGCTCTCTACAATCCCTCCTTTCCTCATTTTCAACGATTTTTTCTGTTTTTCCATTTTTCTCCTTCTTTCCTTTTATACTCCCCTTCACTACTTCTCCTTTGTTTTTGAACAACTGCTTACTATTTCATTATATCTATTTTACATTTGCTTTCTATTTCCACTTTCAAATCTTCACACCAGTGAGATCATGCAGTATTTACACAAGTTTTAAAAATTTATGTCACTGAAGAAGATTGTGAAAGTGCATCATTTTACCTACTAATGTGTAAAGTATATCATTAATGGCTGGGTATTTCATCTCTGTGTAAAACATCATGCCTTCTTTATATTTTCATCTGTTGATGGACATTTTGAGGTGTTCCCAAGATTTTAGCATTACCAAATATTTTCTTATAAATATGGGTACACATACATCATTCTTGTAAAATGTATTAAATTAATTTCGGAAGATATTATGTTGGAGAACAGTTGTGACACAGGAGCCCTGTAATACTAGATATTTTAGGAATGTCTGCATTGATTTCCAGAGATGTGGATCTGTTTACACTTCTATAAACAGTGAAGAAGAGTTTATTTCCCAAATTA